AACACCACGTAAAGTGGATATTCATGAAGTGAGAGTACAAGTTACATTACCTTGTAGCTCTAGTAAAGTTATTGTTCCTTATGCTATTGAACCAATCAATAATAATGAAGGACAAGTTAATGATCCCACTACTTATGAAGAGATCATTGTTGATGAACCGAATGAACCCATAGTAGAAGAACCACAACAAATAGCATTAAGAAGATCTCAAAGAGAAAGGAGACCTGCTATTTCTAATGATTATGTGGTATATCTACAAGAGTCTGAATTTGACATGGGTATTCAGGATGATCCAGTAACGTTTTCACAAGCCATGAATGGAGAAAATGGTGATAAATGGTTAGATGCCATGAAAGATGAGTTGAAATCTATGGAACAGAATAAGGTCTGGGATCTTGTTGAGTTACCAGAAGGGTGCAAGAGAGTTGGTTGTAAATGGGTCTTTAAGACCAAACGTGACTCTCATGGTAACTTGGAACGTTACAAGGCCAGACTAGTTGCAAAGGGATTCACTCAGAAAGATGGCATTGACTATAAAGAAACTTTTTCACCAGTTTCAAAGAAGGATTCGTTAAGAATTATTATGGCATTGGTGGCTCATTATGATCTAGAGTTACACCAAATGGATGTGAAAACCGCCTTTCTAAATGGAAATTAAGATGAAGATGTGTACATGGACCAACCAATGGGGTTCATAGAAAAGGGTAAAGAGCACATGGTGTGCAAACTTAAGAAGTCAATATACGGACTTAAACAAGCTTCACGGCAATGGTACCTTAAGTTCAATGATACCGTTGTTTCCTTTGGATTTAAAGAAAACATCGTTGATCGATGTATATATCTGAAGATCAGTGGGAGCAAGTTCATCTTATTGGTTCTGTATGTTGATGATATTTTGCTTGCAACTAACGATCTTGGTCTTTTAACTGAGACTAAGAAGTTTCTCTCTAGTAACTTTGAAATGAAAGATATGGGTGAGGCAGCTTATGTGATAGGAATAGAAATATTCCGTGATAGATCACAAGGACTGTTAGGTTTGTCTCAGAAAGCATATATTAATAAAGTTCTAGAGAGATTCAGAATGGAAAACTGCTCATCATCTCCAGTTCCAATTCAGAAAGGAGATAAGTTTAGTCTCTTACAATGTCCTAAAAGTGAATTGGAACGAAAAGAAATGGAAGCAATTCCGTATGCATCATTAGTTGGGAGCTTAATGTATGCTCAGACTTGTACGAGACCAGATATTAGCTTTGCAGTTGGGATGTTGGGTAGATACCAAAGTAATCCCGGTATGGATCACTGGAAAGCAGCAAAGAAAGTTCTGAGATATTTGCAAGGAACTAAAGGTCACATGCTTACTTATAGAAGGTCTAGCAACCTTGAAGTTATTGGATACACAGATTCGGATTTTGCAGGATGCGTAGACACAAGAAAATCTACATGTGGTTACCTGTATTTTTTAGCTGAAGGAGCTATATCATGGAAAAGTGCAAAGCAGACTGTAATAGCTGTGTCCACTATGGAAGCTGAATTTGTGGCATGCTTTGAAGCCACGATTCAGGCTAAATGGCTACGGAACTTTATTTCAGGGCTTGGATTGGTCGACAATATTGCAAAGCCGCTGAAAATTTATTGTGATAATTCCGCAGCTGTCTTCTTTTCTAAAAACGACAAATATTCCAAAGGTGCTAAACATATGGAATTAAAGTACTTTGCCGTTAAAGAAGAGGTTCAGAAACAAAGAGTGTCTATAGAGCATATTAGCACCGATCTTATGATAGCTGATCCCTTGACGAAGGGATTACCGCCCAAGACATTTACTGGTCATGTATGTAGAATGAGCATTATGTCAGCTAATGAATGATAAAAATTATAGTTATGTATTAAAGTATTGACACTCTGAGCTCATTGATGAATATATGTTTCTGATATTGTCTTGTTTTTCAATTTATGTATGCATGCAAGTATATGTGATGATATTGAAAATATATGTGGTCCGTTATGAAGACATTATTGTTGGACATAATGTGTACTTCCTATTAAAGTATCATGTTAGGAAGAAGAGTCAATATAGTAGTACATGGAAGGGACTATGCCGACTTGATAGCATACAACCGCCATGACTCATGTTGATTTTATTTCTAATAATGAATTATGATGACGTCAATGTATGGAACCTTTAGCCTAGTAAATGCGCATTATAGTGAATTTTAATTAAATCATGAAGGGACACCTTATGACATGAGCCAAGTGGGAGAATGTAAAACTATTTGTGTCTCATGTGTAACGTGTGTCAATCGGTTTAATTAAATAATAAAAGAGGCTTTATGGTAATTGACGTTTCGCATTAATGGTAATTGACGTTTTGACGTTTTGCATTATGGTAACGTTTTACATTAATGGTAATTGACGTTTTGACGTTTCGCATTAATGGGAAGTTACAGGGAGTTATTTGAAACTCCGTAACTGGTGACATGGTTCAGTTATATAAAGAGAAAAATGGTGAGTCTCTGTGTTTTTTATCTCTCAGAATTCTCTCCTTCATGGTCTGCCCATAAAAGTTGTATCAGATCCCTGTCATAGACGATACAAGAAAAGCAGAGGGTAAAGACTCTGAGAAACAATCTTCCATCATCAAAGTTCTTCATCAGAGTTCTTCCGCACTAATGGAGAAAGGTACGCTCTTATGTGAAAATCATGAATTCTAAAGATCCTGTATCATGTTCTTGAATGATCATTGTTGAACATGAATCATGAATTACTGATTAAATTACTTACAAATATACCAGGTAAGCTCTCACTCATGGTGCATGCATTTTATGTACTGTTTACGTATGAGTAGGATATGCGAAGCAAAGGGTAGATGCGGTTGATGCAGAAAACTACGTGTACCACTACAGCATAATTGAAGGCAGTGCTTTGCCACACCCATTAGAGAAGATCTCTTATGAGTACAAAATGGTGGAAAACCATGACGGTGGAGGCATCATTAAGACCGTTACCAAATACTACACCAAAGGCGAAGAGCAGCTCCCAGAAGAGTATCTTAAGGCTAACAAGGAAAGGTCTGCTAGGTTCACGAAGGCTATTGATGATTATCTTTTGGCTAATCCTGATTACAACTAAAAAACACAACCTATTCAGTTTACGATGTTATTATATGTTCCTTATATGCGTTCTCAACTATCATGTTGCTTTAATTACTTGCCAGTAATAAACATTTGTAATTGAGGGAGTGGTGTGAGATTATTTAGCTGTTGTTTGTACGTATACATAATATTGTGACACTTTTAATCCAGGAATAATATGGACGCATCTACTCGTGACATGAAAAATAGTATTTAATATATATTCTGCGAAATCTTTCTTCCTGTAACTAATTTTTCCCTAAACTACATAAGACATAAATAATAAATGGGACTTTGATTGTAAAAAGTTGGGAAGAGACAAAATACGTCCTTTGAGCTTATTTGGTTTGACCGGAATTAATATTTAGTTATTTACTTGTGAATTCATTTTTAAGGATTAAACATTCTTTATTTTTTTTTTCCTTTCTGCCTTCTTCACCTCTTAGTGGGAATTTCTTAAGCACAACTTTAAAGTGCAATATATTATTGCTCAAATCTCTCCTACACCCTAATACGGTATAACATATATATATATATATATATAGACATGATCTTTTGACACCGATGTCAAATTTCAAATTTGACACTTCATCTGAAAGCCGTTACATCAAAAAAGATAAACGACTCTGATTTGTAACAATGTGAACCGTTGATCTAATTTTTTGATCTAACGGCTCAGATGAGGTGTCAAATTTAAAATTTAACACCAGTGTCAAAGGATCCTCCTACCTCATATATATATATATATATATATATATATATATATATATATATATATATAAAATCTAACACCTATAAATAGATTATTAAGTAATGTTATTATGAGTTTTGATGATATTAGACTTACATATAGCGCATGATTAACTTAAACCGATGTAAAATATTCATCCCCTTTATATATTGATATATTATGCCATTTCATTAATTTATTTCTTTACAATTTATCAAATTTGTCCAAACAATCATCGTAATTAAAAAAAAAAAAGAATTTTGCTTATACTTGAGTCTTATCACTTATGTATGCCCAAGTTTGCACTCGTCCTAACATAGCTCACAGTGAGAGTATTAGGAAGATACTTGAGTAATCTAGGAATGGATCATTGGAAAGCAATTAAAAAAGTTATGTGTTATCTAAAGAGAACAGAGGATTACATACTCACCCATTGGTGGACCCACGTTATTGCACATGACTGCAAGTGCACACAGTAATTTTTGAAAAAAAATTATATCTTACTTACTAATTGTGCATGCTTGTTTATTCTTCTAACTCACAAAGTATGTTCTGGCAACGGATATATGTTGACAATATATTTAATAGTACATAATTATATAGAAATGGATTGTCCATTTTAGGATTTTATAGAAATTATTGACTACTCTCAAGGATTGACAACATAATTATTGTAGGCGTTATTTCAGAATTTTCAATTTTGTTGGGTACATCTATGGATGTTTTAGTCATGACTGTTTTGTTGATTCTCTAATTGATTTATGTTTGATTGTAATCGTTCTATTGTAATAATTTAGTTGCCTCTTGGTTACTATTTTTTTATATTAAGTTGAAGTTTTCTTTTCTTTTCTTGTTTATATTCTTTTATTTTTTAATGCATTTAAAACCTTCTTTAAAAAATAATTGGATGCTCTATACCTGAACCATCGCCACTAAATGTGCAGATGTAAACAAAATTTTCTGGGTCCGCCATTGTACTCACCTATCGGAGATGAGACAGACTAGAGATCATTGAGCATGCTGATTTCGATTTTACTGGATGCCTAGACAGTAGGCGATCCACCTTAAGCTATGTTTACATGTTGGCAAAAATAGTTATTTCTTGGAGGAGTGTCAAACAGACACTCATAGCTTCATCTACCATGGCAGCGAAATTCAAAAGGGATATGGTTAATGGTATTGAAAGGTCATTAAAGTTATATTGTGACATTAAATCCACAGTGTTGTATTTCAATAACAACAAAAGCTCTTCAAAATCAAAATATATTGATATTAAGTTTCTAGTTGTTAAAGAAAGAATTCAAAACGGTGAGATTTCTATAGAATACATTAGGATGAACTCCATGCTTGCGGATCCGCTCACAAAGGGTTTCGTGCCCAATGTCTTTCATGAGTACATTGCTCATACAAGTTTGAACAAAGTAAAAATAACAAAGCAGTTATAACTATAATCAAGAGACAACAAGGTGGATGTTTTTAAAATAGTTTAACAGAAGGAATGGATTTACTGCTCCATTCTTAAATAGTTATTTTCTCTGCTCAAGACTTGGTACTTTTTGGCTTTGTCCAAGTTTCTTAACTGCCAACTCTGATTCCTCAGCTCATGGACTAGATGGCTCACAAGTTTCCATATTCCTATGGCTCCCTTGACTCCAACAGGTACTTGGTACATAACCTTAAAATGGACGGAGTGACCCCTTATTCCTAAGGTGACCAATAGTGTTTTTGCTAGAACACTACCTTCCCCCACTGGCTAAGCTGTCTGAAATCCCTTCCTTATGGAAGTTCCTTTCTCAGTATGTGTTCAATTTCCATTGATACACAATGAATATAGCTTACTTAGCCAGAGAAATACAAAAAGCTTCGGTCAAGAGTTTTGAAAATAATTCTCTAAGAGTTTTGCAGATTATCCGTTCCACAGATACTTCAGCCCATTGCTGATACTTTAAACATAATTATTCTAAACTGAAGTCCCATGGACCCGAGATTCAGTTCAGAGATAACAAATGGAACGAAAAGAAGTAACAGTTATATTAAATTGAAACAAGAAGGTTTACAACGCAACATAAAATGGAGAAGATGGTCTGATGCTCGTGAGGAGTCTTTAGGGGATGATACAGAACAAGGAAGAAGGGTTGTCACTTAACTATAGTTACAACTATACAAAATTAAACTACTAACTAATACTAGGTGATCTCTTCTTTTAGGACTTCAATCCCTCCAGAATTCGATGATGTTTTTGTATTTGGGATGTCCTATTTATAGGTAGAAGAATGTGTGGCAGTCTTATAAATCCTTTGGAGTTGGTTTCTTAAATGAAGGGACAGGGCGGTGGCAACAGTGTTTAGAAGGTTGCAAATTGCTTGATGGGACAGTTTTGTTGATGATTAGCCATTTTCTTACAGTCCCCCATGCCTTGCTTTCTTCTTAGCCAATGAGAACTCTTGATTCTCAGTTCTTCACGTTTTTTGGTGCTTAAGTGGTGCACCACCTTTGCTTTTAGAAGACGTTGTTTCCACGTTTCCTGCAAAATGGACAGAAGCATTAAATGAGTGCAACAGGTGTAACAAATGCTCTCAATTCGTTCCCCTTTTAATATATTTTCAAAGGAATACGTCATCATACGTTCCTCACTGTGTTTTTGTCACAAATGTGTAAAACACATGATTTTCATGCTGAAGTTGTTCATCAGATGAGGGAACGTATGGTATTTTGCCATCAAAATGGGCTTAGATGGGAACGAATTTACGTCCCATCAATATTCATATGTAGCCCAAGTGAGAGATTGTCAGAAAATTTTATTTTCTAAATTATTGTGGGCTACATATTTAATTATCAATCATTTCATGTTATTTAATTATTTGACAAATTAAGTGATCTATTAAGGGGAAATAAATTCTATGCCCTTCTCTCTCTCCTCCTTGTTTCTCTCTCGCTCGTCTCTCCTTTCTCCTCCCCCCTCTCTCTGCAAGAGCAATGGTCCCAGACCGCTACATTTTCGCTCCTATTAATTAAGGAACCAAATTAAGATTTAAATGAGCATAGATTAAATGAGTGGATATCCATATTAGCCCAACATAGTATAATGGGAGCGTGATAGGTCAAATGATAACGAATCACTAAAAAAGTTATTGTACCCAATATGTCAAATCAGTTAGATAGATTTCTTTTCCCAATCAAGAGATAGCTTCTGTGTAAGGATTTGCTCTTTGGTGATTGAACAAAGGAAGACCCTCAATCCCAAAGTTAAAAGGCATTAAGAAACCACAATCATTGCGATGGAATCAGATACGCTTTAATTCCTTTAGTTTCCTCGATGATCTAATATGATATATTAGGAGATTTACTGTGATGGTTTTCGTCATGGGATATTAGGGATAACCCCAACAATTTTTACTCCTGAAAGTGAATATGTTTATTATCTTTCCCTGGAAAGACTAAACAAAGCCATCGTCCTAGACTGTAGCAATGTTTCCCCAAACCTCATCAAGAATGCTGAAGCTATTGAAGGAGCTGGAGGGCCTGGATCCATTAAGAAGCTCACACTAGCTGAAAGTGATAAAGTTTATGTTACGAAGAGAAGTTCAACACGTGTCAGGGCTCCTCCACTTAAGCTTCGTGACTACGTGGCTTGACTATAGTTAGTAAGAGTAGTTAGTGAAATGTAGTAGTTAGTTAGTTAGTTGGAATATCAGCAATGTATAAAAACTGAAGTTGTAAAGATGAGAAATATTGAATAAGAATTTCCTTGAATCTTTCTTTCTTCTCTCTTTTCTCTTCCTCTGAACTATCTTTAGGGTTCATCCCTAACATTGGTGCTTTCATCTTCTGAACGCCATTGATACCAGGATGCGCGTACAAGATCTGGCTGAGGAGTTATCTACCTTTCAGCAACGGATTGATGGCCGCATTGTCGATTATCAGACGCAAATCGCTCGCGTTGAGTCACGGATTGAAGATCATCAAGTACAGATGAATCGTGTTGAATCACGACTTGATAATAATCAGGCTCAGATGAAGTTGATGTTAAATCAACTTCAACAGCTTAACAGCAATTTCGCGACTTCGGATTCCAGGGTTCATACGCGACCTCTACGTTCCCCTATTTTGACCCATTCTTCGGAATCAATGTCCATAGGTGGTGCACGTCCGGAGTTCAATCTTTCTAAGTCGATTCGTTTAGAAATTCCACTGTTCAATGGTACTGAGCCTAACACTTGGATTTTCAAAATCGAATTATTTTTTCATCTTCAGCAAATCCAAGAGGAATTCAAGGTTCCTTTAGCTGGGTTGCGGATGGATGGTATGGCTGGCGCGTGGTATCAGTGGATGTACCACAGTGGAACCATTCATTCATGGGGCGATTTGGTGATTGCTTGCATCAGCGATTTGGAGTCTCTGCCTTTACGAACCTTAAGGGTGTTTTATCGAAGCTTTCTCAAACAGATTCCTTGCGTGATTATATTCGAGAGTTTGAGGCTCTTCTTAATCAGGTACCTGGTTTGGACGATGACTTATATATGAGTTTCTTTGTGTCTGGCTTACAACCAGAACTTAGAAGTGCTGTTCAGCTTCGGACTCCCTCCACTCTTCATTTGGCCATGCAAATTGCTCTTGCATATGATGATCACCATTCGGAGTTGAAATCTTCGTTCTCGGTACATCAAAGGAAGGTTTTTTCTAAGCCTTTCACACAGGCTGATCCCTTACCAGCCCCAGTTCATAGCAAACCAGTGTCACAAAATTCACCTGCTACTCAGCCTTTGGCGCTTCCGGCACCTTCCCAGATGAGACGTTTATCTCATGAGGAGCTGCAACAAAAACGTGAGCAGGGTTTGTGCTACTATTGTAATGAGAAATGGAATGGTAAACACAAGTGTAAACACAGATTTCTACTGTTGATTGGTGATATTGATGAGTCTGATAATGACGTGGAGGAGGAGGAGATAGTGTGGAAACCAGAAAATGATACCACTGACATTAAAGATGCTGCTTTGCATGCTATGGGAGATCATTCTTTTGGTCATTCCCTCAGGTTTAAGATAGTTTTCTCCCATAAGGAGGTTAGTATATTAATTGATTCTGGCAGTACTCAGAATTTTATTCAAAAGCAATTAGCTCTTGAATTGCAATTGTCAATTACTAAGGTGAAGAAATTGCGTGTCTATTTGGGCAATGGTGAAGTTCTAGTCATTGACCGCAAATGTCTTAATGTTCCAATTGAGTTACAAGGTGTGCAGTTCTCTGTTGATTTATGGTTGTTAGAATTGAGTGACTTACAAATCATCTTGGGAATGCCATGGTTGGAGAAATTAGGGAGAGTTACTCATGATTATATGAGAGGTTCTATGGAATTTGTCTGGCATGGGAAGGATGTGATGTTAACAGGAGGGAAAGACGAGCCACTACATTCCCAAACAGATACTGCTAATGCCATCAGTACAACCATTTGCTATGCCATTTCTCAAAGAAGTGATTCCTTGGAAGTGACCAACTCTGAATTACTCGGCATCCAGAATCAAGTGTCATCAGAATTATGGCCGGTGTTGCTTCATTTCCAATCTATTTTTCAAGTTCCACATGAGTTGCCTCTATTTCGTGGCTTGAACCATGCAATCCATCTCTTAGACAAGGTTCCACCAGTGAATGTTAAGCCATATAGGTATGCACATTGTCAGAAAACAGAGATCGAACAACAAATTTCTGACTTGCTTGCCAATGGTTTCATTCAACACTCTCAGAGCCCTTTCTCCTCTCTAGTGTTGTTGGTCAAGAAGCAGGATGAATCATGGAGGATGTGTATAGACTATAGGCTCTCAATGCCATTACCATCCGTGATAGATTTCCTATTCCAACTATAGATGAATTGCTAGATGAACTGGGCAATGCATCAGTATTTACAAAATTGGACTTGAGGGCTGGCTATCACCAGATAAGAGTCCAACCAGCAGATGTGGAGAAGACTACTTTTAGAACACACCAAGGACATTACGAATTCCTTGTAATGCCTTTTGGTTTGACGAATGCACCAGCAACCTTCCAGGCAGTGATGAATCAACTCTTCAAACCATATTTGAGAAAATTCATAATTGTTTTTTTCGATGACATTTTGGTGTTTAGCAAATCCTTATCTGACCATATTGAGCATTTGCGTATAGCCTTGTTTCATTTACAGCAGCACAGGTTTTTTGTCAAGCTCTCTAAGTTCCAGTTTGGTGCATCTTCAATTGATTACTTAGGCCACATTGTTTCGAAACAAGGAGTACAAGCAGACCCCAAAAAGATAGCAGCTATGGTGAGTTGGCTTGAACCAAAATCCTTGAAACAATCGAGGGGATTTTTGGGATTAACAGGTTATTATCGAAGATTCGTGCAAGGGTATGCATCATTAGCAGCTCCCTTAACCGATTTGTTAAAAGGTGGTAAGGACTTGCCATGGTCTGCAACAGTTGCTCAAGCCTTTATTCAGTTGAAGGAGAAAATGGCTAACACTCCTGTGTTGGTGCTACCCGACTTCAAGCTTCCTTTTGTTATTGAAACGGATGCATCCAACAGTGAAATAGGAGTTGTCCTTCTCCAACAGGATAGACCACTGGCATTCTTTAGTCAGAAACTTGGAAGTAGGATGTCCAATGCCTCTACATATGTAAGGGAACTTTATGCCATTACTGTAGCTGTTAAAAGATGGCGCCAGTACCTTCTTGGATCCTTCTTCACCATCAGAACAGACCATAGGAGCATCAAGGAGTTGCTCACTCAAACCATCCAAACTATTGAACAACAGAAGTACATATGCAAGTTGATGGGGTATGCATTTCGAATTGAGTATAAGGCAGGAAGCTCTAACATCGTTGCTGATGCCTTATCAAGAATTCATGAAGAAGCATCAGTCAATGCCTTGCTGTCTGAACCAGTTTTTGATATTCTCAAGGAGATCAAGCAGCAAAACACTGAGGATTCTTACTTACTGCATTGCCAACAGCAGGTACAGAATAACTCAACTGATGTAAGTTTACTAACAGTGAAGGATGGCATTGTTTTTCATAAAAACAGGTTCCTCTTGAGTCCTAAGTCTTTGTTGATTCCTGGGTTAATTCGAGAAGCTTATGCATCTCCTGTGGGGGGCCATGCTAGCATCACACGTACCTTCTTGAGATTGTCAACAAATTTTTATTGGACTACCATGAGAGCTGATGTGAAACAGTATGTCAGTGAGTGTTCCATTTGTCAGCAAGTAAAGTATGAGGCCAATAAACCTACGCGTTTATTACAACCCTTACCAGTTCCTGAAGGAATATTTGAGGATTTATCGATGGACTTTATAGTGGGTTTACCACTGTCTCATGGTCATTGTACCATCCTTGTGGTCATTCACAGACTTTCAAAATTTGCTTATTTTGGAAGGCTTCCTCGTTCCTACACAGCTGCAGTGGTTGCTCATCTTTTTTGTGAATTGGTAGTCTCAAACCATGGGTTTCCATGTTCCTTGTTGACTGATCGAGACCCAGTTTTTATGAGTCAATTTTGGACTCAATTGTTCAAATTGAGTGGGACTCAGTTGCGCACAACTACTGCCTATCATCCACAATCTGATGGACAAACCGAAGTAACCAATCGGTACCTGGAACAGTACTTAAGGGCATTTTGCCATGAGCAGCCAATGCAATGGTCCAAATTCATTAGTTGGGCTCAACTCCATTATAATTCCTCTGTTCATTCTGCCATTGCTATGACCCCTTATGAAGCAGTTTATGGAAGGCCTCCTATGATGATTCCACACTATCCTCGTGGACTGCTAAAGGTGGAAGCTGTAGATTCGGTCTTGTCTCAACGAAATGAGATATTGTCTCGCCTCAAGACACATTTGGAACGAGCTAGGAACTGTATGAAAGTGCAAGCTGATAAGCACCGCAGAGAACGCACTTTTCAGGTGGGAGACTTGGTTTGGGTTAAGCTCCAAACCGTATAGACAGATTTCAGTTGTTCGAAGGGCCAATCATAAGCTGGCAGCTCATTTTTTTGGGCCTTTTCCTATGGAGCAGAAGCTGAGTGATGTAGCTTACTGATTAACCTTACCACCTGACAGTCAGGTTCATCCCACTTTCCATGTTTCAGTGTTGAAACCTATGAGGCAATCTGAGGGATCAGTGCTTCCAGCAGTTCCCCTGCCTCTGTTGGCTGTTGATAATAAGCCAGTCCAAGAACCGTTGGCTGTGGTGGCCAAGCGAGCTCTTCACGGCAATGGTCAAACCCAATATCAGTTCTTGGTCCAATGGACTCATTCTGTACCTGAGGACTCCACCTGGGAGAATGCAGATGATCTCCAGCGCTGTTATCCGAACTTAAACCTTGAGGACAAGGTTTCTTTTGAAGATGGGGGCAATGTTACGAAGAGAAGTTCAACACGTGTCAAGGCTCCTCCACTTAAGCTTCGTGACTACGTGGCTTGACTATAATTAGTAAGAGTAGTTAATGAAATGTAGTAGTTAGTTAGTTAGTTGGAATATCAGCAATGTATAAAAACTGAAGTTGTAAAGATGAGAAATATTGAATAAGAATTTCCTTGAATCTTTCTTTCTTCTCTCTTTTCTCTTCCTCTGAACTATCTTTAGGGTTCATCCCTAACAGTTTATATATATCTTTATGCATTGTTCACTCTTGTGGACCTGTTTGTGCTTGTGCATATAGAATGTTGTAACAATTGTTTCATTGAAGACAGTGCTTTCAGAGAAACATTAGAGAAGATTTCTTATGAGTACAAATTAGTGGCAACCCTTGACGGAGGATTTGTCAAATCTACAAGCAAATACTATATATGGACAACTCACAAAAGAGTTTTTGAACAATGGCAAAGACAGGTCTATTTCTATGTTTTTGTTTGGGAAGTCTTATTTTTAACTTTTTTATCTTTATAAGTGAAAGTTTAGCTAAATATGTTTTTACAAAAGCTATTATTATAAAAAGAGCTTTTTGTTATAAAAAACTAAAGATTTTATTATAAAAAGAGTTTCTTATTATTAAAAAAACAAAAGGTAAAAGCTCTTAAACTAGCTATTTAGAGTTCTCATATTTATTTTTAGTTTCATCCTTATTCTAAATTTATATCTATCAATTATAGTCTTTATCTTGGTAATTCATCCTAATAAAAAATTATTTTATCTTTCCTCCTTCAAAACTCTTTAAAATGTATATATATATATATATATATATATATATATATATATATATATTGGTAGATCTAATGGCAGACTCTAACGACCTCTTTAAGACGAGTCAGCTACCAAGTATTCCCACAAAACTTTAATTCTATGAGCCGATTATAAGACTAATTCCGAGTCGGGACCTAGTCATTATTAAAGCTCTTCGCCATTCCTTAAAGATATATTTGGTGGGAATCGAGTACAGGTTCTCTCTCCACTTACCTAGCCAGTATTATCAACAAAATTACATCCACTATGATAGTGTCAAAGATTACGTTCTGACTAATCGTGACTATAACTAAAACAACATATGTTTAGGTTCATTTTCGTTCTTAGCAATCATTTTACTTTATACAATAAATATTTGTGAGCCTTAGGAGTGAAATTATTTTGGAAAAAATTCAAAAATTTCCTTATGATTTTCTTTGAATCATTTATCCCCTTATGCTTTTTTTTATCACTTATCTCTCTATGATTTTTCCATCCAAGTCCTTAATTAACATTGTGAAAATTTTGATAAATCTGTCTATTCTATTATTTATATCATCTTGTTCCTCAAGCTTTGCAATAGTTCCTAACAATACAACCAAACTTTCTTTCATTATCCAATTTCTGAAAAAATTTGGGAAGTACCACATGACTGGTGACAAGAATATAAAAAATAGTTGCAATGAGATTTTAACCAAAGTAATTTTTAATAAAAAAAAAAATTATACAAAAAAAGTCAAATGCCAAAGGCTAAAACTACATATTTTCTTGATGAATTTATCCCACTTATCATATTGTAATCAGACAATGATCGAGAAGAAAATGATCTTTAATTTTTTGCTTTGAAAAAAAAAATTGTTTTAAAAATTGATACCAATTCTTTTTAGAGGTTTTGTGCTCACTTTGAGTTATGCTATGTTGCACCGACATCGACACGGGACACGGGATACGACACGACACTCCGACATGTTAATTTTAAAAAATGTTAAATTTCGACACGTTAGAACACGTTTTGATATTATATAATATTTCTAATTTATGTAGTGTATATTATATTTAATATTCAATAATTTAACAAAAAGATAAAACTAAACTTATAATACCCATCAATTTTGCAAAGAAACATAAGATATCGCAAATGTTTATGTTAAACTCAATAAAATAGTAATCGTAATCTAACAAATCTAATAGTTGGAACTCAAAATGCAACGCAACGTAACATTTGAACCTTTTTTGAGTCTTTGCAATGAGTAATGGAGTGTCAAAAAGTGTCGGAGTGTCAGTGAATATCGAAAAGTGTCGGATACGACACGTCAAAATTTTTGAAGTGTCGGGACTTTATAAAAACTATGTGACCAATTTGTGTTAGGATAGGTGTTATGTGACATCAACTTAGATGTCATCATTACGTGTTAAACACCCTTTTACTCTTATTTATATAGTTTAAAATTCAGCACAAAGGAAACTTGTTTTATACTGTATTTAACCTTCCTTCATAGTTTTTATTCTTATTGTTTTCTTTTCATTGCAATATATTTGACCTTTTTCTATTTTATTTTATTTTTTTAAGGGTAAAATTGATAAATTGGTTAAATTTATTCTCAAGTAAGGACTCTGATGAAAAAAATCATAAGAATATAAGTGATTAAAAAAATATAAGAAATAAGTGACTCAGAGAAACCATAGAGAATTTTTAAACTTTTCCCAATCATTTAAACACCTCTCAATATTGACGTTCGATGTGTATACGTAATATTAAAGTAATAAACATACAGATTACCAAAATAATAATAATAATAATAATAAACATACGACAAAAATATTGCATTATGTTTTAGTCGTTGATTCTATGTTTTGAGTACGATGCATCAAACATGATTGTAGCAATTCGTACAAGCATAAATATAAGATAAATCATATAAATGAGCAAAGCTTAATCTCAGTAACTCCAATTTGCAAACCTAAGCCTAATACTCTCCGAATGAATCAAATCAAATTATGAGAATTCAAACTGCCTAAAAGAACCACTTTTATTCCAACAGTAAGAACCAACCCATTTTTTAGGAATTGTTTCAAGAACCAAAACACCTTACACATTTAATTATGTTTGAGCTAAAAAATTAAGGAAAAAGTGTTTATCCTTTTAGATAATACAACTTATATCATTTCACTCTTTATCAACTCTCTTTCCATTTTTATCTATCTCTTTCTCTCTCTCAAAATGACACAACTTTACATCCTTTAAAATGATACACATTTTTCCCAAAAATCAAACCATATCCATTCTCAAGAGCCAAAAAAAATAACTACATATATTTTTATGAATCGGTTCAAGAACCAAACCAATTTTTAAAATCGATTCAGTTTGTCAGAATTGAACCAGTTTTCTGGTTTGGTTTTGAAAATTGAACAGAACCGAACTGGAGACACCCCTACCTCCACCATGTTGTGTCAAGTACTTTCTGCTGTGGCTAATTTTCCTTTAGTCCAGAGAAGAAGAAAAAAATGCATAGCATGTAAAACATATTACTTGCATTCATACATCCAGGCAGCAAATTTGCTGAAGAGAAACTGTAGATTTAGATTGCTGCAGAGCTTAGGGCTTAAATTCAGTAGTCAATTGGAACCATTAAGTATGTCTCGACTTCTCTCCTTTTCATCGGAAAATTATATGTCAATTGAGAGACAGAACAGCCAACTACTCTTAGGCAGCACCAAGTGAAATACCGTCCGTCTTCACAATCTGCAAGAGAAAGGTTGTTTCAGAAAGGCATATAGCATGAAAATAAGCGTATTCAAAGCCAACACGATAAGATATTCTCTTCAATAAAGTTCAACGATTATTATCAAAGAATAAGATATTGTAACAAACAAGTAGTGTTACTACCAATGTTACTACCAATCAATTTCACCGTTAGATCGATTATGTTAATCTAACGGTTATATTTATTTCCATCTTTGTATAGTTATGATTCTGTGAAAGGATTAAATATGGAAAATCATAACCATACAAAGGTGAAAATAAATGTAAAGTATTAAATATGGAGAATCATAACCATATAAAGATGAAAATAAATATAACCGTTGGATCAACGTAATCGATCTAATAGTGAAATTGATTAGTATTAACATTGGTAATAACACTACTTGATTGTTACAATATCCTTCCCTCATTATCAGATACCGTAATCCTTACATTATTGGAAACAAAAACTAATGTATGTTTTCTCGGTTTTATTTTAAAAAATCAAAAAATATTTCAGTGATCACTTGTTCTCTTGTCACCTATATGTACCACTCGGTGCTATATCAGAGACAGTCCACAAAATCTTAAAACTTCTTGCAGTGAAACATATCAGAACAATCCTGCACATACAGAGTTCTATTTGCTTCATCTGGTTTTTCAATTATGACTACTTGTGTTCAGCAACATGTTAATAATAATATAAATAGCAAACATGTATCAACGTTAGGCTAGAGCTCTCCCAAACGAAGTACATAAATATAAGACATTTATTGCCTAATATTGAATTGTTTAATGAATAAAAAAAGAGAAAGAAAGAACTAACCATAAAACTCATATAATTTACATTCCAAAACACTACCTGAGATATATATTCCTTAATCCTGTCTCTGATGAGTCCGTCTAAAGCTCTCTCAGCAAGCTCATAATATAAAGTATTGCCTTCAGGACCATTAACTTTATCCTTCTGTAAATACCTACAAAGAAAAAGAAGAATCAAGAATTACTTCATTGCTTTTTAGTGGAAACCTGAGGTGCCCCAAAATGCACCAAATCTTGTAATTTAAATCCACCGCATTGAAAAATTCTAACCTTTGCTGAACAAGAAGTTCCAATGCTTGCTTAATGTTTCCAAGGTCGGGATGACTTACTTCATTTTCTGACAAACCCATCCTCCTCATTTGGCTCCACAGATTTTCTGCAATACTCTCACCAGAAGGAGTTTCATTGTGTTAAAAAGACAGCAGCAGAAGTACCTTCTGAAATTCCCAGTTAATTTTTTAAGCCAATAACTGGCAAACTTTGAAAAGCAAAACCTTATACTTATTGCATTTATCTAGAGATCGTAAAGTACCTGCGTAAACTTCCATAAGTGTTTACCAGGAGTATAAGCATATGCATATATATTATGTATAATTTTAGCATTATGAAACTAAATTTGGGATCATACCTTCTGCAATTTTGCCACCAGCTAAATATACAATACTAATTAGAGCAAAAGTGAATCCAGACATGTGGGCAGCATTCACGTCTACAACATATTTTTCATATACATCAGGAGGAAGTTGACTTATGAGAACATACGATTTTGAATCTGCAACAACTGAAAGAACGAATGTCATAAAACCTATAAGTAGAGGAAAATGTAGATAGCTAACAACAACCAAAACAAAGTTGGAAAACTCTAACGAATGCAGACAGGTCCGAACAAGTAAAAAGCAATTTTGTACAAATTTCCTCAATGCCATTAAATATACATGCATGACACATTCAAAGATTAAAAAAACAATTAAATGAAAACTAAGCATTCTCTAGTCTCTACCCATTGCTAGGTAAGAGTATTATAAAGGCACAGTTCTTCAAATGGTATTTCATATATAGCCAGAGTGAGTAACCACAAAATGCTCACTTTGTTGGGATAACCGTGCCTGAGTTTTGGATGATGGGAGGGACCTCTGAAGCTCTCTCATTTCATACCCAAATACGCTTGAAAGCTTTTCTTTAGCCTCATTGATCACAAAAGTAGGAAGGTTACGCTGATGATAGTTACTTGTAACCAGCTGAGTTAGTTCTTCTCTCTTAATTGGACACCCAGAGTTTTGATGTGTTTTAAAAAGCATATAGCGTATTACCTCTCCAACAAGCTTATCCTTTTCCTGAAAACAAAGCATAACAAAATATAAATAAAAAAATAAAAAAAATAAACCCTTGTTTACAACAAGTTTGTATCTTTTGTTAAAAACAAAGGAACCAAACGAACGCACCTCCTTTGAAATTCCAAATTGGGAGAAATTTTCAGCACCACTTGCCATCCTGCAAGCATTATTACCAAACCATGATACTTTGCAAGTGTGGTTTTAAATTGGGATAGCGAATGGTAAAAACGAAAAGAAAATGAGAAACCCCAAACACTGTTTTGAGTCAAATTTAGAAGAAGCAGGGTGAAGGAACCATAATCAGGTAGAAAGTCCAAACCTTTTTTATAAAAATTTTCCTCTGCAAATTGAACTCTGCTCAGTGTGAAACGAACTAGGGTTTATCAGCACCTAATTGCTGATTCCAAAACTCTAACTTCAAAAGGCGGGAGTAGAATATACAGTTATAACTTTGAAACTGGGCCATGATAACTGGGCCAGGCCCAATTATCTATTGGATCAAAAAACAATGAACCTTTGTACCAACCCAACATAAGTGCGAGTGACACGAAACTTGCTGCGATCTGGAACGAGAAACATGTCGGGGGAAGGAACATGCGAGCGGTTGCAGAGGGCGCTAAGGGAGTGTCACCGTCGGGTTCCGGCGGGTCCGGGTCGTGACAGAGCGTGCCGTCACCTGAACCACGCGCTGGCGAAGTGCCTTGTTTGTTTGGCGTGTCCTGATGAATCTGAGGCGGTTCGAAGCCTTTGCTCGAGCGCTGGAACCGCTCTGAAGCGAAATCAATGCCAACGGGCTCAGCTTTCTCTATCCCTATGCCTCTCTTCTCATCAACAAAACTTCTAACCCTTTCGCCAAAAAAAAAAAAAAAAAATCCCTAACCCTTGTGCAATTCTATGTAATTTTTTATTTATTTATTTTCAGAATTTGTTTCTTTGTTTTCTCTTTAGGAATTTGTAGATTCAGTTGTCTAATTTAACTTTTATTAAATTTGTACCTGACGATGAATTTATTGTGAAAAAAGATAAAATAATTATTTGTTGTTGATAATCTATGGTTAAAACATAATGAAATAATGTATGAGATTAATGCATGGGAGATAATTTTATATCTTATATACACATAAAAATATTTAAAATTTATATTTTTTTTCTTTTTTTTTCACATGGTTGCACATGGATTCATATATTTTTATTGTAATACTTCATTTTAGAACCGGTTTGTTAACATTACGTATGACATTAATCGCAGTTATAATCACAGTAATTGAATTATAATACCGATAAACTTTTTCGTTAATAAATGTTTCTGTTAAAAATCAATTCTGTAATTAAAATAATTCCAAAAACTATAATCATAACTTAAACTATAAGCGGAACACTTAATGAAATTTTATTTAGACCATACGTTGCTATCACAGTGTGCCAAGTAGCTCTTTTAGACCAACAAGGCTTAAACTCATTTTATTGATACTTAACACTAAACACTTACACTTTTAAATAGGGTGTGTTTGGTATAGGTTATCTTCAAATTTTACTAGACATTTGAAAGCGGGTATTTAGGTTGTCCATGTTTGGTACAAGTTATTCAAAAATTTACCTAGCTAATTGAGTTGTCTAGCAATTGAGCTTTGTGTGCAAATTTGAACCAAAAGTACAACACTGAAATCCAACTTTAATGGTGGTATTCCATGGATAGCTAGCTAAGTTAGGCAACATTAGAACTATAATATAAACCATCATTATTTTATGACTGAATTATCCCTTTCATTTGATGACTTTAGGCAACAGTAGAAGTAAATTAAAATATTGTAAAAGGTTCTTTTGTAATTTCAACCTGGTTTTCCATCAATATTTTATCTTCAACCAAACATAGATTCAGGGAATTTCACTCAATTTTTCCGGTAATATTTTGCCCAACCAAACAACTTTTTTTTAACTTTCTTACCTATCTCAATTTCCCTGCAGATCCTTAGTAAATACATTTTCCTGGTAAAAAAAAAAATTCACCTATACGAAACGCCCCCTTAGGGGGCGTTTGGTTCAAGTTTTTGGTTTGGTTTCCCATCCATCTTGAAGTGGCATTCCATGATTGCTTTGTTTGGTAGAAAGATTAAAAAAATTTAGCCATGTTTCTCTTTTCCATGTACTTTAACAAGCATGTGCAAAAGCAAATCATGGTAGAACTTTACCACTTAGGATGTGGTATTCCTAGAAAACTAGCTAAAATGCAAAAAGGTGAATGAAGAGTGTTATCATAATACCCTCTTTTAAGTACACATGTCTACATCTCTTAAATATCAAGGGTTGTTTTCGGTATTTCAACACATTTACCTATCATTATTTCACCTTCAACGAAACAAAGACTCACAAAATTTAACCCAATTTTTCAGGCAAAATTTTGACCAATCAAACAACTTTTTATTAACTTTCCTATCGAACTCACTTTCCTACCATATTACTGGTAATTGCATTTACCTGGTAAAAAAAAATATCTCCTCTACCAAATGTCCTCTTAAGGAATTTTGTACTTCCTCTATGGTTATCATCTCCCACTATGTTATAGATTTCTTCGTTGGCTACGAGTGGGTTCAAACCGCGCTCAATTCGGAGCATTGTAGCCCAAGTTATGAATTTTTGAAGAAAATGATGCTGAATTTCACAGGGTCCTGCGCTGACAGAGCGAAACCCGTGCTTGTAGCGTCGTAACACTGGTTTCTTCGTGTCATCTTGCGCTGTCAGCGCCACGGATCTGGAGATTTCACCCTACCGTAGTATTTTACCCATAACTTGAGTTATATTTATCCGATTGGCGCAATCTTGGTCTCTTTAGAAAGCTAAAAAAATATCTATAACTTTCATTAAGACACAAGGGTCCAAATCTATCATATAAGATATAAAAAATGGACAATAAGACATGATATTCTTAAATTTACATTGATTCTCAACCGCAAGAGTTTTCTTTCACCTAATAGACATTGTACCACAACTCCAATGCCAAAATCTTTGTTATTTCAAGGCTTACATGATATCCAAATAGGCTCAATTACATCAATGTGCTTCAAAATGATTACATACCAAAGACTTAGAAATAACAAGTGATCAAAGTCCCAAATTAGGTGCACAAGGGCTATACAACATCAATGATCAACTTTTAAGTCCTATATGAATTCATCTACTACTAATGCATCAAAATATCCTATACATAGGATTTTCCACATGGCAAGCAATATCAAATATCATCTATCATATGCAAGCTACTTGGGCCCTTTGCCTCGCCTAGTATCATCTCTGCTATCACCTGAAATAGCAGTCCCCAATCGGGGTGAGATAAAACTCAATAAACCCAGGATTCTTGGAGAATTCCTCCAGCCCCAGAGTTCACTTCCTGCATGAAGGGTTAGTATACACATGGCATGAACTACATCATATATCCAGAGGTAATAACAAAAATGATTTAACTGCAGCATACCTATGCATTCACACGGCCAAAGAATTAAAGAATCAAATCATCACACAAGTTTCAATTGCATCTTAGTCCTTTCCACTAAGCATACAACATTGCCCCTAGTGCTTGTCCATTGGCCCTTTCTCCAATGACACAACAATACTATATGAATGCAAACATACCATAATACTAACATCACCACTCAATCATCCGATCATTAACCATTACTTCCATAAAAGCAATGGTGGAATAACAAGAGGAATGAACCTCCAAGATCCAAAGGTTTACCTCTTGATGTTTCCTCTCCTTTGCAAGCTTTCTTCCAGCTCACTTATCCAAACCAACATTTCTTGGTATCTCAACTTGGTAATTCCTTCCAATCACCAATACATCCAATCCAATTGAGCTACTCAAGCTCCATGGCTTCCTCCAATGGTTGGTCATTTAAGGATGGTCCATTTGCCTCAATCCACAAAAGGTCACACAACCAAGGAATGAAAGTCTCCTAAGCTCCCATGGGATGAAATTCCCTCAAACTCCTCCAATCATCAAATGGATCAAATTTTGGGAAGAAGAAATCTCACTCCACAATGGTTCCCACTCAAAACAAGCTTGGATTCACAAAGAGAGGAAGATTTGAAGCAAGATTGGTTTTGGAATGAAAGAATTTGAGTAAGAAATGAAAAAGCTAGGGCTTATGGCTTCAATTTGGTTTTCTCTCTTCCTCACTCTCAGTTTCCACAAAGAAGAAGAAGAAAATGTGAGGAAATGATTTGGGGTTTTTGCCACTTACTTAAGTTAGTTCACTCAATCGGGTAAAAACTTATCTGTCTATTTAACTCTGTTCTCTTTCAAACTTTATCCAAAGGAGTGAAATATTTTTCTAGGAATATTTTTACTACTACTTTTATATTTTGGGTACTTTTGCTTATATTCATTTTTACTGCTTAATTATCACTGACTGCACTTTTTACCACGAAAGTGACCCTAATTAATTTAATTAGGCCTTTTACTTATTTCTACCCACCAATACATGCTAAACTATTTAATTACATGTAATTTACTATTTAATTAGGCTAGAGATATTATATTTATCTATGTATAAATGATAAAATTATTTTTTTTATATTATAAAAAATTATAATCCTATAATTTATATAGTAATTTTTTATTGGGATTCTCGAATATTGGAAAAATATATATTTTTTAAATGATGATAATTTTGTTAAAATTAATATTCTTTTATTTAAAATTTAAATTAGAAAAATTACCCACTTTCTTTTCCTATAATTTTTATTATTTATCTTTTTTTTACTTAAAAATATATAATTTTATGTTCTTTAAAAATATAAATAAACCCTATATAATAAGGGTTTGCTTTTTCTGCAGTTACTAAAGATAAGTCATCTTTAGTAAGCCCAATACGACGTCGTTTTGGGGCAAAATCATAGTACTTTTGTAATTTTAATTTATTTCAGGGTTATTATAATCTTTATAATTATAATTTTTTGACATTTTAATCTCAAAACGACATCATTTTGGAAGTAGATGCAGATAACTTATCTGCTGTAACTGCAGAAATATTTTTATGATATAATAATAGGATAATAACTTTAAGGGAATATCAAATAACTACATAATTGAAGCAACTACCAAGACAATGAAAGAAAATAATGAGGGGAATGCTTGGAAGGTTGTAGCCCCATGGGGAGCTCTCCAATAGGTGGAGTTGGTCCAATGGACAGTAAAAATATTAGAAAAAAATAGCAGATATGACTAGGTTATTATTTTCTATTAAGTAAAATAAATTGTTTTTCTATTAAAATAATTTTTCTATCATTTTTAAATAATTTTAACTTTTTTGTATTCCTTTAAATTAATATTACTTGTTGATTCTTAACATTTATTCTCAACGTAAAATAATTAGTTTTTCAATAATAAATATCGGTATTAATTGGTTATAAATAGGAAAGAAATGTTTTTCTAAATTTTAATGTCTTATTTAATAATAGAAACGTATGTAATAAATATGGAATTATGGAAAGTTATATCATATCCTTAATGATGTTAACATTTTTTTTTTTGGTATCCTTAAGAGTACATTTTTTTTTTGGTGAAAATAAGAGTACATTTTTTTTTTTTATAACAATAAGAGTACATTTTTAATTGTACTCTTACAATGTGAAATTAGAAGATTTGAAATTAGAAAAAAGGCTTCTACTGATTTAAAATTTAATATTTGTCAACAACCATAAAAAATTTAATATATGTCAAAAATGACTTCAAAATTTAAACGTGTTTAGTAAAATTTAAAAATGTTATTACTTTCGTTTTATCATAGAAACATATTTGACATCCGCGAAATTAGGCATTATCTCATAAATACCATAAGCATATAATTTTTTATTTTTTATTTATTTTGTTATAAATATAATTCTTTGAGAATATATATTAAAATAAATATAATTTTTAATATTAAAAATTATATTTATTATATAATAAGTTATTTATAAATTAAAATATTAAAATTTGGCTGTAAAGTTCACATGTTATTATATAACAACATTTCTTGCCAAATCTAAATTAAAATAAATAAATATCGCACAAGCGAGTAGGTAGCTTCCAAAGAATATGTCCTGATCGATGCTGAGCTGAGAGAGACTGAAGATGGAAAACACAACCACATATTTCGGCCATTAAATAGGCCAAGCTTCAACTCCTATTTTTGCACCCAGATTTTATTTTTTGGGTACACATCTATCATGTGTAATTTTTTCTTGTATTAGGATACTAGCCATTAACGAATCACTCTTTTTTTGGAGTCTATTTGCTTCTTAATTACTTAAAGCAAATATCTCTCTGGCTTGGAAAAAAAATGGGTGGATTAATTGCAGCCAACAAATTTTCAACTTTAGTAAGAGGATCACAGAGAAAGAAATCCAACCCCCTCATTTAAGTTTAGGCACGATTCTTTTACTTAAAATAGCGGCGAGTCGGTGGTCCATAAAAAATCCTTCAAGCTGGAGGAATAAATGAGGACCTGAGGCATCCACTATTGGTGGGGTTGGCCCTGATCTTTACAAGTATTTAAGGTTTTGGGTCTGTATAAGGAAAATTAATTCCACTATAGCTTAATGGGGAAAGAAGGACTACAGTTTTTAATAATAGGCTACTATTTATGTGACTTGGTAATACCATTGCATTAGATTCAGGAGTAATAGCATCACTGGTTTCATTATTATATAAGTTGATTAGATGTTAAGTATGTTAATGGCATGTTGGTATACAGGTCTTATAGTATAAGATATGATTGTATAAAATCTGATTAAATTTTAATACTATCCAGTGTTTGACATAATATTATATAAGATAATATCATCTAATTTTTGATAATACACCGTATAATACTATATAGGTTAAAAATAAATATTTTTGTCAAAAATACATTTTAATAATGAATTTACTAATTCTTTCAAATATATCAGATGATATTATTTTTTATAGAAATATGTTGATGAGTATGTCCAAAAAATATATTAATTTTTATAAAAATAAAAATCTCCAGTATTTTAAAAAATTATATATTGAAAAGTATTTTTTATGTTAATATACTAATATTAAAATAATATATTAATTTTTGAAAATTGCATTGATTAATACATCAATTCTTTATCAGGCTTAATCTTACATTTCTAAGCCTGATTAAGTTATACATCATTTTAATGTATAAAAGAATCCTGTTGTATAAGTTTATACTATACGATTATCATACCAAACAATTAAAAATATCATAACATATAATATAAACTTATACTATCAGGTCTTATACATATCATCAAACACGTCTATCTAGGGAAATAAATACTTTCATAGGAATTAGAGGCAGCAAAGGACGGTGCGTAATATTAATAATTATAGTGGGACAGGCACCTTCATTGGTTTGGCAACCTGGTAGTTGAAGAAATATTGTCAAGTGCAACATCAATAGCCTTATGATCTTCATCTATAAATACAACCACCTTTGTTATCTCACTCCACTGCATTTCAAAGTTCTTCATATCTACCCTACTTCAATTTTCTAGCTATATCTTCTTGTTCTAAGGAAAATGGATGTCTTGACACTCACCGAGGAGTTCACTAGCACTGTCCAGGCAGAGAGGCTGTTCAAGGCTTTGATCCTTGATGCTCCAAACCTCATGCCCAAGCTAATGCCTCAGGCTATTAAGAGTGTTCAACTTGTTGAAGGCAATGGAGGCCCCGGAAGCATTCAGGAGATAACCACTGCTGAAGGTTAGTTACAGCATTTCACACTTAGTTTTCACTTTTTTATTATCATTGTTGATGATAATGTTACGATTATTATTTGTGACTAAGGAGACCCCTATTTTCTATCACCTTGTGGACCCCTCTACAACTCTAGGTTCATAGTACCTTGAAGCTGAAATGAGTTACAAAGAAATTATTTGTTGTGTGTTCATTGCAGGTGCAAACATCAAACACTTGAAGCATAGAATTGATGCAATAGACAAAGAGAATTTGACATATAGCTATGCAGTGATTGAGGGGGATGCTGTACTGGAAAAGGTTGAATCAGTTTCACATGAGATAAAGTTCGAGCCTGATACAAAGGGTGGTTGTAAAGTGAAGAATGTTAGCAAGTATCATCCCAAAGCAGGGGTTGAGATCAAAGAGGAGGATTTCAAAGCTTCCAGGGAGGAAGGCTCGGCTATCCTCAAGGTAGTGGATGCCTATCTTGTGGCAAACCCTGAGGCCTATGCTTGAAGTGATCTTATAGTGCACCTTTGCATTATGTTATATCATGATGTACTTTCAGTTTAGCCTATATGGTTTACTATGAATCCAAATATGATATGGCTATAATAATAAAACTTATATTATGAGTTATTTTGATGAGGCTTGAAAGCTAAAGTTCCGGAAGATTATACTATCCACATATAATTACTAATTCAATGATGAGCTACTTACTAAAACACAATGGTGAATTGAGACACCCTTTTTCATTTTTTTTTTTATTGGAAAACTAGGATACATTTTATTTTTCACTATGATTTCGTACATATGTGAGTAAAAGAGTTATGTGTAATAAGCATTTTCCTTTTTGTTTTTAACTTCTATCAGAGATTGACTATGTTTGATGGTGTCATAAAGTGGTAAATCAGATGTTATATGTAAAATCATAGACAGAATATGAATCAATGTTCCACGAGACAAGAAATCTTCTTATATAATTAATTAAACAGTATATGTTCCATAAATCATAAAAACGAAGTTTTCGATTATATATTAAATTGTTCCTTCAAGATTAATATAATCCCTCACAACAGACCCTCAATCATCATCCATCCGCATGTAGTTAACATTTGATTTAGAGGGACTTGTTTGCAATTGTGCAAAAGAACAGGATCACCGAATCCTATAAGCTAATGGCTCATGCTTCTAGAATGCTGCTTGGTTACGCCAAAATCATTTATATCTGTGACAATTATAAAGATCAATTATGGGTTTTAATCAGATACTTTAATTTCCTGTCCCGATTAACATTCCATCAATCATGGATTCAATTGAATTGGATATAAGGATCATTTTTCTTAAACGAGTCCCTAGCTTATGATAGAGATGCAAAACCCACCACGAAATAATGGGATACTCTAGGCCATTGAGCACCACCATTCTGTTCTGTTGAGTCAGGATTTGAGTTGGTCAAGGGAAGGAAGAAATTTGTCTTGTAAACAGCTTCACTCTTTTTATGCCAATCTTACAAAACAGAAATTTTTATCTTATTCTAAGATCAAATCTCGTAAACAACGTCCTCCGGGTTTCTTTCTTGATCTTATGGAATTTAGCAAAGCACCTGAAGACAAAGAAAAGCAAACAAAGGGGTCTGAACTTGGACATTATAAATAACAGTTTCTCAGCATCTCATCCTTGCCAAGTTCACCAAACACTTCAATTCTAGTTCCTTGGCAGTGGTGTCCTAATATCACTTTCTAACATGGGTGTTTACACTGACACAAATGAGTATCCATCCCCAATCTCTCCAACAAGGTTGTTCAAGGCCTTGGTTCTTGATGCTCACAACCTCATTCCAAAGCTTTTGCCACAGGCTGTGAAGAGCATTGAACTCATACAAGGCGATGGCGGGGCTGGAAGCATCAAGCAATATAACTTTGTTGAAGGCATATAACTTTCTAGCACATACTTCAGCAAAATTTGCTGAAATAGCATCTCATTTATTAGTATAATAGTGAGTTTGAAGTTTTAACATGGCATGGTTTTCTTGCAGGTGGCCAAGTGAAAATTGTTAAGAACCGGGTTGATCAGATGAACGAGGATACATTTACTTACAATTACACATTGATTGAAGGTGAAGCATTAAAGGACAAGTTCGCATCCATTGCTCATGAGATTAAGTTTGAGGCTACACCTGATGGTGGTAGCATAAATAAGATAACAAACAAGTATTATTCTAAAGATGATATTGAGCTCAATGAAGAGGAAATTAAGGTTGGCAAAGAGAAGGTCTTGGGCATTTACAAAGTTGTGGAAACCTATCTCCTGCAGAACCCTCATGTGTATGCTTGAATCATTAACTAGTATCTAGTTGATGCCCCTGTCTGTCTCACAAGTTTGTTTGATGGTTGGCTTTTGTTTGATAATAAGGGTCTGAAATGTTTGAAATTCGGGTTCCTCAAATGTTAGCACACTTCTTATGTTTGTCAGTGGCACTTAATTCAAAATAAAATGAAATTGTTTTTGTGCCAAGTGAGAATGGTTATTTTGTGCACATCAATCAAGTGAGTACATTCACTGATGACTGGCTAATATTGATTTTATGCGACAACATGAAATGATTCATCCTAATTGTGGGTTTTTTGTATTGTGCATAGTGATGAGCTTTAAGTCCATCTTTTCTTGGGCCTATGTTCAACTTTAAAATGGTTTAAGGTCTGATTTATAAATTATATACTAATACATCAATTGCCGCACATGCATAAGAAGTGCCTTGTTAACCCTGCCCGCTGGAAAATTCCAAAAATTCTCAGTTCAACAAACCTACAGTTGCGAAGAATTTCTATATTTATGACACGTGAACATTGTTTTGAAAACACTTCATGTTGACATTATCATCATTCTTAATCTTATAGTCCAGTCAAAAGTAAGATGTTTGTTATATTTTAAAGGGAGCAAGAAGAGTTACTTTGTTTTACCAAACTTCATATATCAGTCAATTCAAAAATTGTTTCAATTAATATGGTAAAATGATCTCCTTTTTTTGTACGTGCTAGTTAAATGCCTAACATTATGTGCCACATCCAATAGCCTGCAAAGGGCGTGTTTTTTTTGTGTTAGTTAATTAGTTTTGTGGCTCACAATCATTACTCTTATGCAAACTTCTTTTTTCTCACAAAAGTAAAATTAACTAATTGCCCCGGTTATGTAACTTCTATTCAATTAGAACTTAAGTTGTTTGCTACATTTATTTATTTTGGTTCCTCTGTAGCTGCTGCTCTTTGGTTAATTGCCTCAGTGTAAATGATGGCTAGAAAATGGAGAATGACACCTTCTGATTCAAACTATACACGAGGTAGGTAACGCACTATTATCACTTGTATGAATTCAAGTCTATAATGTTGGCAAATGAACTGATTCTACCAATAGCCGCCCATGTTTGCATAAGATTTATTAATACAATTATTTGGAAACATGATATAAAAAATTCACTCACCAGCCACTAACATTGAACGTCTTCAAATAAAAAATTCCCATTCTTAACTACCAAAAAAATGTCCAATTTTTAAGCCGCAATTATAAAAATTTTCAGTTTCCATCAAATGGGTCATTCCTATGAAACCTACTACAAATAGAACCACTGGACCTATAATACAATAAAGTGCTCTCCATCAGGATCCAACTTTCACAACCTTGATTTTCTGTGATTTCTTCAATCTACAAAATTCACCATGGGAGTTACAACTTTTACACATGATTATTTGTCCCCTATTGCTCCATCACGCATGTTCAAGGCCCTGATCACAGACTCCAGAACTTTGCTTCCGAAGCTCTTACCACAGTTTATTAAAGATGTCAACTTAATCCAGGGAGATGGAGAAGCTGGAAGCATTGAACAAGTTAACTTTGCTGAAGGTTAGCAAAAAGACTTTGACAAAGTGAAATGAAATGATTTACTTCTCTATATTTCTTGAAGTTCTTATATGTTTCTTTTATGCAGCTAGCCCCTTCAAATATCTGAAAAACAGGATTGATGAGCTTGATAATGACAACTTGGCATGCAAATACACTATGATTGAAGGGGATCCATTGGGCAACAAGCTTGAGTCTATAGCTTACGAGGTTAAGTTTGAGGCCACTAGTGATGGAGGTTGCCTTTGTAAAATGACAAGCAAATACAATGCCATTGGTGAGTTTGAAGTCAAAGAGGAAGAGTTAAAGGAAGGAAGAGAAAGCTCCATTGGAATCTACAGAGTTGTTGAAGCCTATCTGCTGGAGAATCCACAAGTCTACGCTTAATTATTCATTACTTTTGTCAAGTATAGAGATCTTATTCAAAGATGAAATTCAAATTTATTCAATTTTTAAATAGTGTGCACCCAGATATAGACACTTAGAATGTTTGCATAGTATTGAATTTGAACTCCTTAATAAGTCCTTAGCATATGTTGCCATTAAGGACATACTTTGTGGTTTGGCAAAATATTTGTACTTTGTAATAAAAAAGAGTTGGATATTCACAATCCTCTTTATGAATCATTAGCATCATACTTTGATGGGACTAATTCTGCCAAATTATTATGCAACTAATAAACGTTTATGAACATCTCAGACATACCCAAGGGCCAAGGATTGGTGCCATGAATATTCTGTCATGCTTGACAAAATTCAGACCAACCAGGCAAATAAACATTTTTTTATATAAAATGTAACATCCTGAGCGCTGACGAGGGCGGGGAGTGATCGCCGGTGCAAAGAGGCACGGACAAGGAGCGGCTCCTGACAGGCTTCCAGCGTGGGGTTACATGCATGAATGAATCGAATCGAATCGACACCCGAAATAGAGGGATTCCAAAGACTGTGCAGGTGTAAAACTGCACAGTTTAGAATAGCTTATAAGAATTAATTGGTACTACGTATACTAACAAGATGCATCTACTTTTCGGTAGCCCGGATCGGAAGAACTCCACAGTTAAGCGTGCTTGACTTGGAGCAATTCAGGGATGGGTGACCTCCTGGGAAGTTTTCCCGGGAAGTTTCCGAGTGAGGACAAAGCACGCTGAAAAGTCTCGTGTTAGTGTGTGGGGACAGTCGTTGATCCTTGCAAGTTGCAAGGCGTTACAAGTGGTATCAGAGCAAGGCCTCTCATCTAGTACGGTGTGGTTCGAGGACGGACCAGGCGGAAGCTGGTGGGCATGTAACATCCCGAGCGCTGACGAGGGCGGGGAGTGATCGCCGGTGCAAAGAGGCACGGACAAGGAGCGGCTCCTGATGTAACATCCCCGTCTCGAGCCGGTTCAATTAACATACACATGATATAAACAGAAACAGCGGAAGACTTAACTTACAAAAATATGAGCTAACTTTTTCTTTTTCTAATTTAATTCTTACTCGGCGTAAACGAAAATCGAGCAGAGTTTCCTCTATAAATCGGACAACTGGGGATTTTCCAATCCCACTCAGAACCATTTCCTGATAAACAGTTTATACAACATATCAACTCAGAAATACCAGGTATCCAAATATAATCAAATACCCATACATGGGCGCATGCATAACATGGCTCCGTGCCACTATATCTAACAGCATGCCATCAAAATGTAAACCTATCTGAATACTACATCATCATATAACGTGCCTGAATACTCAAATGTGCATGCATCAAACTGACATACATGTACAAAACATATACAGGCCACATACAACATATAGGATCTAACATCATGATCCACAAAATACGGAAATACTAAATGAAGGTACTATACTCCAAAATAAAAGTAGCCTACAGCTACTCAAAATCCAATACGTCCAAAATCCTCAGCCACGGGTAGCGTCCCTGACTCGAGAGGTCTTACCGGGGATCTGGGCACCTGAAAATATGGCCCCAACGAGGGGTGAGATTACAAATCTCAATAAACTCCAGGTTTATAGAGAATTCTCCATACCCTTGGCTCACTCCTGCATGAAAGTCAGATACAGAGTATACGAATACAACATATAACAGATATCATAACAGAACAGAGTATATATCCATGTCATATCAAAGATGTGCGCCGTCATTCCCAAGGGAGGACCCCAAGCGGAAATCAACGCACGTGTTCCCGAGGGAGGACCCCAAAGCGGAACCAGACATATCAAAGGCGTACACCATCAGTCCCGAGGGAGGACCCCAAAGCGGACATCCGGGTACTATACAATCAATGGCCAGAGATTGTTACAGAAATCATATTACAAAAGTCATATTAGAGCAAAACATATCATGTTATCAAATAACTCTATATGAATGCATCTATACAAAGCATCTAAGTAACAGTCATACAGTCCAACCATAGTTCACTAACCATGGTGGAGCACTCAAGCAGGAAAAGACTCCTTAAACATAGAGCTTACCTCTTGAAGCTTTACCAATACCCTTACTTGTTGCACAAGTTACTTATATATCTTCAAGAGATTCTGATTCCTTTTTAGTCCCTAGGTACACCTAGAGCAAGAATCCACAAATACCAATTAATAAAATGCCATCATGCCTAACTTTCACATAAGGCATACATTTTATCGCTTCTTTTCATTTCTTTGCATTTTTGCCAATCCTATGCCAATACACAAGTCTAGACCTCTTTATAACCGTTGGTGTTCTTTAATTTAATCAACCATTCCCTTAGGAATTTTCAATATAAATCATGCTATTTTTCTTTACAATTTATTATTACACATTTTATTTAAAATAAAACGTACAAAATATATCCCTAAATACCCTATAGATCGAATCTTATAAGGGGAATTTCCAAAGATCCTTCTCTTTTACAATACATTTTCTTCTCTTACATTACAACTTGCAAACACCTAGGAATGCTTCCACTAGATTCCTATTTTGAGTTTAGACACCAAGTCCTTTTTACTTAGGCATTCTTACTAACTCATCCAATTTCACTCATTTCCAACACATTATACCTTCACAATACATAATATAATTTTTTTCACAATAACCCTTACACACTCCATGAAGGCCGAAACCTAGGAGGAAAAATGCAATAGGGCTTTTCAATTTTTTTTCACATGTGGATGCTTACTCAACACTATAACTTCCTAAACAACAATAATTCATCATAAATTTCACATTCTAACATCAATTATTCCCCACTCACAACATGCTCATAGATTTCACAACATAAATCACAAGACTAAAGTCATAGGGTTAGAGTTTTGTTACCTCTAATCAACTACCCAAAGCCTAGATGACATCCATTAAGTAAAGCTCAATGAAAAGCTCCACTTTTCCCTTGGATGAATAGTAACTCAAAAATGGAGTGATGAACATCTCCCTCCACAAACGAAATCAGCTCAAATGGAGGGGTGGAATAGCTTCCTTGGATGATTTCCTATGAGATTGGTATATTGGGTGAAAGATTTGGTGGAATATTGGAGGAGAAATCAAAGAAGCAAAAACCAAAACCCTTGCCCCCTTTCCATAGCTGCTGCTCGGCCCCAAGGAGAGAGAAAAGAGTGTTTTTCTTTGAGTGAATAGTGATCTCATAAGTCACTTATGTTTTATAGCATATGTGGCTTTTACCCGGGTATTTTTCTTTCGCGTATTTTCACTTAAACTAACCCGGAACTACTCAAAGCTACAAATATATTTTTATTTTTCTAAAGTCACTTACATTACTTTTATTTTCTGAGGAACAATATTTATAATTCACAGTATGGTTTTTGCACCGTTTTTAACGAAATGCATTGTGAACCATTAACTGTACTTTATTTATTTCTAAAACTTAACACTTATAAACTTATCATTTTCTTGGGCCTATATTGACTTGCTTGGCATATATTGGACTTTCTTATTCTTACGTCATCAATTATTTGTTTCTGGACTCTACCGGTTGCTTAAACAGCGGTACAAAATACCCGGTAGAAATACTATTCACGAGATTTTCACGGAAAGTGCCAGACTATACAATTTTTCATTCTGAACTCATATATGGAGTCAGAATTGTCAAATTATTTCTCTAAAATCATTTTTGCTTATTTAAGCTCTACCGGTTAATTCACAAGACTGCGAATTCTCCGACAGAACGCACTGTTCATAACATAGTCATGATTACAGTCAAAATACTCGAAATCACTCACTGAATCTAATTATGGCATTTAAATCCTTAAATTAAATCTCTAATTAAGATTTACCATATAGGGTCATTATATTCACCCCACCTTTTAAGGATTTTGCCAACAAAATCAAATACGAAATATCATACATACCTGACGTCAAACTCAGGATACTGCTGGAGAATCTCATTCTCCCGCTCCCAAGTAGCGTCCTCAGGAGTCAATCCTTCCCATTGTACCTTGATCATGGGAATAGTCCTGTTTCTCAATACTTTTTAATCACGTGCTAGAACCTTCAATGGTCCCACAACAAACTTTAAGTCTTTCCTTACTTCGATATTGTCCGGTTGTACAATGTGGGATGCATCCGGCACGTATTTTCGAAGTTGACTGATGTGAAATACACTATGCAGATTTGACAGGTGTGGAGGTAAGGCAAGCTGGTAAGCCACAGGTCCGACCCTCTTTATAATCTGGTAAGGCCCAATGAACCTAGGACTCAACTTCCTCACTCCGAGAGCACGCCCAACACCCGTAGTCGGAGACAAACAGATAAATACATGATCCCCTTCTGAAAATTCAAGGGGTCAATGTTTTGCATCATAATAACTCTTTTGGCGGCTCTGTGCTTTCTTCAATCGATCCTTAATCATCATAATTTGATCGGTAGTCTCTTGGACCATACCAGGCCCAAATAACTGCCTCTCACCAATTTCTGACCAACACGTAGGCGCCCTGCACCTACGGCCATACAAAGCTTCATAGGGAGCCATGCCCAAACTGGCATGATAACTATTATTATAGGAAAATTCCACCAGAAGAAGATACTTATCCCATGCATTTCCCTATTCTAGGGCACAAGCCCTCAACATGTCCTCCAGGGTCTGAATAGTCCTTTCAGTCTGACCATCAGTCTGGGGGTGATAAGCCGTACTCAGCCTAAGCTGCGTACCGAACACCTGTTGCATTGCATCCCAAAGTCGAGAAGTAAATTTAGGGTCCCGATCACTAATGATACTTTCAGGAACACCATGCAGTTTCACAATCTCCCTTACATACACCCGAGCCAACTGTCTGTAGAGAAACTCGTTTTGACTGGTATGAAATGTGCAGACTTTGTCAATCTGTCAACAACTACCCAGATAGAATCAAAACCAGCCTGAGTTCTCGGTAATGCAACTAAAAAATCCATAGAA